AGAAATTCCGAGTTCTACTTGTGTTGGGATACCAAATGGCACCACTGGATCCTGGCCATAGTGTTCTCTACTATTCCTACTTTATTCTCTTCAGTCATTTCAGCATGAAGAAAATTTGCTTGCCACAAACAATAAACCAATATTGTATCAAAACTCTTTGGGGAAAAGTGTAGGGATGCCGTTTCCCCCAAAGTACATTTTGGTTGCATCTTACAGTGCAAGAGTATGAGATGGTTCATGGGAGCCATCTAGTGCCTGGAATGGAAATGTACAATATTTATAAAAAGTTAAGGAAATTATGGACTCATTGAAAAGAGCCCCTGAGCATGCAGGAAGAAAACCACTACAACATACAACTGGCAATGTAAATGATGATGATGGTGATGAACCGGACACACACAGTCACATTGCCCTATGTATCAACCACCTTATATATCAATCTCAGATATGCAAATTGATATGAATGAATACTTTATTATGGTCAAAGACCAGTAAAACCAAATCAATATAAAAATACATACATGTAATTGTAGTTTCTTAAAATAAGTATTCATTCAAATTGATATGTATGCTAGGGAGGCATTGGAAGTCAGGAGGGCCTGGCGTGCTCTGGTCCATGGGGTCATGAAGAGTCGGACATGACTTAACGACTAAACAACAACAACATGCATGCTACCATCAGCCTGAAATACACTTGTTTCTATTCTTCGTCTCTGATATGAAGGCCAAGAGCTGGGTGGCAAAGTGTCACTCATTAACAAGGTGTTGGTTGCATTACTAGGCACACACCAGACTGCATGGTCAGAAACACAACTAGCACTTTATTAAACAATGGCAACTTGCCGCCAAAACTTTAATGAGTTTTCTCTTGGGCAAGCATTAATCAGCAATAGAATTTTGGCCAAAACTGGATATGAAATTATGCCTGAATAAGAATGCCAGATGCTGTGAGGGAACAAAAACGAGTCTCCTACTGGCTATTTGTTTCATTGGGAGTATGATCTGGAATACTGATTCAAGTACATGACTTTCTACATACTTGCCAATCCCAACCCTTCCTACATCCTGGATTCACACAGTTTTCTTGAAATCCTCTCCCTGACTCATTGAAAAGAGCCCCTGAGCATGCAGGAAGAAAACCACTACAACATGCAACTGGCAATGTAAATGATGATGATGATGAACCAGATACACATGGTCACATTGCCCTATGTATCAACCACCTTAATTCTTCAATGATTTTTCATAAAGTAAAAGAAGCAGTCCTCAGCCCAGGAACATATTTGAAAACCAGACAGTATATACAGTAAGGATCATGTCTTTAATAGACTGTGCAGGCTCCTTGATTGTTGTTGTTTTTAATATATGTTGTTATAATACAAATGGTTTGAAATGGATTTAAAGTATTGAATTGTTTTATGTTGTTTTAACTTTCTTTTAACAATATAAAAGAAAGTTTTTTGAAAAGGCACCTGCTTACATGCAAGGAGATATTTGAAATCCTAAAGATGGAATGGTTGAATTGAATTAAACAGACGAAAGAGGCATGACAATGTCCTTTTCCTCGTCCAGGTCTTTTGATTTGATCCCAGCAGGTCTGTATCTGAGTACTTATAAAAGAACTGGCAACTACAGGAAAATGCTATCACAAATCATAGTCAAGAAGAAGTACTCCTCCGGCTCTTAAAGACTCGTAGGAGAGTCAGCATACACAGAACTCCTTTCCGTGCTTCCAAGAAGAAATCTTGGAAGAAGAAATCTTGGAAAGATTGATTGTTTGAGTATGTTTACATCTAGTAGTAAGAGTTCTTAATAAGCAGAAACAATTACGTTAGGGTCTTTTTCAATCACAGATGAACGCTTTTCTCCTGAGTCATTTGACAAGAAGCTTCTTTATTTTTAAAAAATAAATAAAATTTCTACATTTAGGCACAATGAAGTCTGCAGAATTTAAAAAGTGCTAACAGTGCAATCAGAGCCCAATCTAAGAACAAAATTTACAGGTAGTTCCAGATTTTACATCCCAGTGATACTGCATACATGTAAAGGAAATGGTCTCACATGTTGTATAAAACTAAACACAGTCCTGAAATGCTTCTCCTTTGGGGGAAAAGAATATGTCCCACACCACATATTATGTTGCACCCATTGTTGGCATATATAAGTATGCTATTAGTATTTAATCACATTTTATTTAATATATGAATTAATATATTTATATACTATCTGCCATATCAAATGAGATCTTGAGATGTCTCAGTAGTGCCCCAAGTATACAATCCTGCTGGATCAGATCTGTGTGCTTTGCAAGGTTTAGAGCTATGGTCTCAGAGATCCAAGGATTGCACGGAACCAACACTCAATCACACATCCCAAAAATATTTTGTTCTTTAACAATTTTTCCCCTAATGGAAAAGCCCTTCCATCCTATAATGTGTATGGGGTGGGTGGGTGCTTGGACATGTTTTGCCCACTCTGGTTAAGACTAAAATCAACAGAGTGCCTTACTTTCTATATGCTGTTGGATGGCAACATTCATAATTCCCGGATAGCATAGGACTGGTAGAGGATGATGGGAATGACAGCTGGAGGGCACAGGTTTCCTATAAGTGAAAAGCCATCAAGCACGGTTCCTGCCTCATTTGTATTGACTGGACTTTCCTTGGAACCAAGAATTCTGCTCTCTCTCTCCCCTGAACAGCGATTCAGGCTGCCAGCTTCATGGACTACATTGCTACAGTGTTCTTACACAAATGCTATTCACGCCCATGAAGCTGTTGCAGGAGTCCTGTCTAGCAGATTATGCCATTTCAGAAAAAAAAGAGTATGATTCTACAGAAAGGATTGCAAAAAATTTTTTTTAAGAAAGAAAATTCAGAAGCAGCTGTAAGTGATCTGATTTTTTGATGCATTCCATCAGATGATTCTGGATCCCACTACACATAATTTTTGAAACTCTCCACTGCCATACTTCTGGTTGGAAATTTAATCAAAAAAATACGCTTGCTCGAAGGAATGGTTTTTCCCAGTGAATACGGGGTTAAAGTTATAAATCAGGGCATTGGTCTCGTCTTCTTTGCTGAAAAAGCGATGGCTGCTCTTCCGGGCTGCAAAATATTGGAGAAGTACAGATTACTTCCATGATGTCAGCACCTATGTGTTCAGCTCATTTTTTTTTGTCACATACACTTTAAAGAGCACAATCCTAAACAAATACCCCAGAGCCCAGACTGTGCAAAACACCCCTCCTCAACTTGGTGCTCTCTAAATCTTAGGGACATCAACTCCCATGATCCCACTTGCTTGGCTATGTAAGGTGGAGTTGTGGAAACAACAGTCCAAACCATCCGGAGGGCACCAGACTGGAGAACACTGACCGGAATGGGCTGATGCAGGCTGAACAGAGCTGCTAGGAAGTCCAGTGCGCCATTTAGTGTGATCCTCTCATACAGATGGCATAAAGGTCTCAAGTGACCCTCTTTAATCCGCAGCAGCCTGCTGTAAATTTGCCAGTAAATTGTTTGCTCTTCTCTGAAAAGTCCAGTTAAGAACCTGCTCTCTTCCTACACAACTTTACGATATGACAAATTGATAGTGCTGTACAGAAGGATGCCTAACCAGTGGAAGATTTGCTTTGGGTTCATTTCCTGCAATTGCACATGCTGGCAACAAACCAAAATGGAGTGACCCTACCTGTATCAAAACAACAGAAGTCCCTGACAGGGGCCAGATAGATGCAGGCAGGGACACTCCAGGGGCAGGCTGGTTCACTCCAATAAAGATGATGCCTGATCACTGCCTTGAGGAGCATACCAGTCCCTGCTGGTAACCTTCTACTGCTGTATCATAGAGAGTATTTTAACCTATTGCTTTGGTATATCGTTCGCTAACTATACAATGGCAGACAGGAAAATGCTCCAGAGGATTATTACAATGGCAGCAACCCCAAAAGAAGATCATTTACCTTCAGTTTGTTTTTTATGATATTTATTAATCACCGTGATTGATGGGATAAAGTGTAATAAATAAGAATGGACATCTCTAAAACATCTCTAATTTCTTTCAATAAATATCTCCCCTTCAGGGGACAGATTTTAAAAAAGCTTGCAATACTGCTCTCTCTACAATGTGTACATTAATGGAGGCACAACTATCTCTTAATTTGATGGTTGTTTTTTGGGCTCTTTGGCCGTGTTCTGAAGGTTGTTCTTCCTGACATTTTGCCAGTCTCTGTGGCTGGCATCTTCAGAGGATGGACAGAGCATGGACTGAGTTCCTACTCCAGTCCTCTGAAGATGCCGGGCACAGAGACTGGCGAAACGTCAGGAAGAACAACCTTCAGAACACGGCTAAAGAGCCCGAAAAATCCACAACAACCATCAGATCCTGGCCATGAAAGCCTTTGAGAATACGTATCTCTTAATTTGCTTACTAAGAAAACTTTACTGTATGGTCACTCGCTATTACCTGTCTATTGCCATGTTTTGGCTCTCAGAAAGCTAGTGACTCAGCATGCACGTTTTTCTCTTTTCAAGTACAATGTTAACACAGTCAGTTAAACATGACTTTAAAAACAAAAACAACAAACAAACCATGAATTCCATACCTTCACTGACAAAGAAGTCAGCGGTGAAAAATGCTACTTTGATAGCTGACTGGGAGTGTGGTATGCCTGGTGAGATCTTCCATTCAAACGGATTTTTCTCTGGATGCCACTGGACACCATAAACAGGGTATTTATAAGCTAGGACACAAAAGGAGTTTTAATTCATTTCTGCCACCAAGACAAGTTTCTTTGGAAACCACATACGACTGCATAATTTTCACACAAAAGAGAAGGACTTTGCATAAAGAACTTGAAAAGGTTACTTCGCATCTTGGCTATGCTGAGCTAAAGGACTCTGGAAGAGACAATCCCTTCTGTCCCTCAAATATTCCATTTTCAAGCTCTGATAAAACCACCAGCTTTGTAACCATCACCAACATTTATATGGTGCTTACAGACATACACTGGAAGTGCAAAACCTGTGTCTCTTGAGATAAATGGAGCTCACCAAGCCTCTGCCCAACTTCCACCCATTCTTGTTGGCTCTTTTCCCATCTGCAATTCCACAGAGGAATCCAATGCATAAAGCTGGCAATGCTGAAAGGTCTTGTGCTGCTAGCTCTGTACCATTCTTCTCTGTCCACTGAGGAAACCCTCAAGTCAGAACATTCCCAATTCTGGCTACCCTCTTAGACATTACACTGAATCAGGTTCAAGGAAAGTGAGGGCAACAGCAGAACTGTTTTTTCTACTGTCATTAAAGCAAGCTGATGCTGTACTCTGATTTGCTTATTGCTATATGCTAAGCTCCTAGAAGTGTGCACTAAAAAGCCTGGGAAGACAAGAAATATTACCTTTTAAGACTATTTACATGGTCTGTCTAGGTCAATATTAACTAGGACTTTTCAATGTCTCAAGCGGAGGTCTTTCCCATCACCTGAAATCCTGTTGACACTGGAGATTGAACCAGGATTTTATGAGTACAAAGTACTTTATTACCAAATTATGGTCCCATATTGATGAAACCTCTCTTCACCTGTGGACATACTTCGGAACATAAAGTGTTCCGTAATCTGCACAGGAAGTCATTACTAACGGTAATATATACATGTTCTAGGTCAGTGGTTCCCAACCTTAGGTTCCTAGATGTCCTTGGACTGCAACTCCCAGAATACCTTAGGTTCCGAGGTGTTCTTGGACTGCAACTCCCAGAAGCCTTCCCAGACTTTGCTGGCAAGGGTTTCTGGGAGTCATTGTCTAAGAATGTCGGGGGACCTAAGATAGGGAGTAACTGTCCTAGGTTATACAAAAACACAAATTTAAGATTTAACACCGAGCAACAAATGTCACTGTGACACAGTTCTTCCACCCTAAAACTTTTCAGAGATCACCTACCTGCACAAGACTGAACTCTGTGAGTTCCTATTCTGTTTCACTTCACTGGATCCCACTTGCAGGGGTGGGAACCAACAAAGCCATGGCGAGGCGCTGTTTGCCATTCAACTTTGACTTCAGATCATACATTTAGCCTTATGAGTCCACAAAGGGAAACAGGAGGAAGAGAAGACACTGACTGAAACCCAGACGTAAGTCACAACAAGAGCACATACACTGAGTTAAAGGAACTTGAGGAGGAGTTAACTCACTAAATCCCCACTGATTCAATGGGTCTACCCTAGTTGTGACCTACTCCTGGATTTCAGCTGCTGGGTATATTCAAAAGCTACAAAAGAAGACTTTCCTTTCCACCCCTGCCCCCTACCCCATTCACCATAGAGGGTCTCTGAACCTTTCAAGAACAGACTTGAGCAAAATACAGGAAGCTGCAGAGGGGGACGGACAATCTATTCTGGCAAATTCCATTGCCTTGGTGGGTCATCAACGCTTAGGCTTCATCCGCCATGTAGCTGAGGCCACACATTGGCTGCAGAATTTAAAAGTTTCTATTACCTTCCATGGTTGATATGAACTCTATGTCATTGTGAACATTTGTTGTCAAGATCTTGTAGAAACTGCTCAATTTCTTGTTCTCTGTGAAATTCTGAAAGAGAAGAAAAAATTACCCATATATATACCTATTTACAACTACGTGTCATTTTTACTTTCTGTCACTGTATTGTTAAGCATGATGCTACCTGTACGGAAAGGCTCCAGAAGTGAAAGTGTGAAGTGACAGGCTCAGAAGTCAGTGCTTGCAACACATCATCTGGAAAATGCTTAAACATCCTGCTCCCCTTAGCACCTTGTTCCAAAACAAAGAAACAAACAAGAAGAGTCAGTCTCACCCTCTGGAGGATGCCTGCCAGTTTGTTCAAGATTTGTAATCTTCTCAACAGGCAAAAGCTAAAGACAATTGGTAAGAGGCAGTGAACACACCAGCAACTACACTCAGTCTGTTATCAAACTATAATTGTAAAGCATTACAAATGTTTACTGCTTTTGAGAAAATGCAGTAAACATCCCTGCACCTTGTGTTAGAGAAGAACCACCAGTCTTGTTGGTCTCCACAAATGGCAACTGTTATTTTTTGTTTACAAAATAATCTTTTGTCCTGAAAAGGTTCTAGGAAAACAAGGAGATATGTGGGGATGCCCATGGCTCATGTGTTTTTGATTTAAGAGTTTACTGGAGGACATGGCAGGGATGAACAGCTGCAGCAGGACTTGGTTCAGGGCATTTCCAGATTTATATACACATGCTTCGATTAGATTGGCTCTGCTTGATCATGGCTCATCTGAGATGGCACCCTTTCCTGCAATGATGAGCCAGATGCCTCTAGGAAGCCTGCAAGGAGGCTGTGAGCCTTCTTCTCCACTTCTTTGCCACCAAGAGGTATTCAGAGCCACGCTGCCTCTGACCTTTGGAGTAGTGCATGGCTCTCGTGACTTTCACCAATTTCATCATACCCATCTTAATACAAGTCCAATACCAATGATGTTGTATCCAGTTTGCAATGCTAGCTATGGAGGAGAGAAGGGAGAAGCTATATCCCATTTCTTAGATGTTGCTGGATTCTGACACTCAACAGAATGGCCAAAGGACAAGGATGATAGGAACTGGTGCCCAGTAATATCTGGAAGGCCACAGGTTCCACACACCTAATAAGGAGGGACAGAGAAGACAACCATTTGAACCTTCAAAAACACAGCAGTCTGGAAAATGGTGAGGTGCTACTCCAGAAGAAGCAGGGCCAGCCTTGCTAACGTCACCATTAGAGATACCACATTTGAACTTGATTAATACAATACTCAGCACCTGGATAAGTTTCGCTTAAGGCAACTTAGATATATTAATAAATAAAACGTATATCTACAGCATCTACTTTGATGTTCTTAAAATGGCACTGTGAAAATGCTGCTTCTGTAATCGAGGAGTGGGAATCGTGACTTTCCAGATACTGTTGATACTGTTGGATTCCAGCTCCCATCAGCCCGCTGCTTCTGTAATCCAGGAGTGGGAAACCTGACTTTCCAGATACTGTTGGATTCCAGCTCCCATCAGCCCCAGCCAGGAAGGCCAAGGGTCAAGGCCAATGGGACTAGTAGCTCAACAACTTCTACTCGTGATGTCACAGGTACTTCTGCCATTACAATGGGAGTAGTAGCCCAACAACTTCTACTAGTGATGTCACAGGTACTTCTGCCATTACAACTGACATCATACACATGATAAATCCACATCTTCCACTGCTGCTCGAAACAGGTGAACGTAAGTGACATCATACACATGATAAATCTACATCTTCCACTGCTGCTCGAAACAGGTGACACAACTCAATATGAGTTTTAATGAAAGAGAAATGCTCTGGAGACAAAAACCATCAGTAGTTCTGCCCCTTTCTCCCAGTCTCCTGAAGGTCTCTGCACAACAGAGCTGTCCGTTCAGCAGTCTGTCCGTTCACCAGCCTTCTTCCAAACACATCCTATCTAGCCAGACCGCACTGCTGAAGAGAGGACTTTTGCACCAGTGCCTGGATCATGCCACTGGTTCCCAGTATCAGGATTCAAATAAATTCCAAGTGGTTGTTTCACTTAGCCTTGTAGACTTAATGAGGCGTGCTACTGGTTCCCAGTATGCTGGGCATCAGGATTCAAATAAATTCCAAGTGGCTATTTCACTTAGCCTTGTAGACTTAATGAGGCATACCCTCTTCCTCCCTGCACCTTAGCCGAACTCCAAAATGTTTTATGAACAGCAATTATGAGTTTTTTACCTTGAGTAAAATTCAGCGGCAATGAAAAGCCATTTGTATTAGTCCATGTGAGTAGGTTTTCCCCACTAGTGAGAAAGGTGAGCAATTCATGTCCCATGCATGTACCCCACACTGGAAAATAATCTCCTGAGTCATAAGCCTAGAAAACAACATTATGGAAAAAAAATCAGTACACTGATCACCATACATAGATCTCAAACTAGCTTTCTGAATCTACTTATGGGTGTGCTATTTTGGTTTTGAAATACTTAAAGAAGAACTTGCTGCTTAATACAGTGCATGGGAAGGTATGTATGCAGATCTCATATAAATATCCCTTTGAATCCATTATAACCTTCTTGTGCTTACTTATACACATATATATTTATGTAATACATTGATTAGAATCCAATGGAGTTCTTGCACTGACAAAACAGATGGGGTGCAATTTCTCCTCCCCTTTTGTCTCTCATTGCATCTGAAAATCTGTTCTGGAGAGTTTTCCAGAAGCAAAGAAAGGCCCATCATGCTACTGGACAGCTGTGACAATGGAGTTTGAGCTACTCTGTTTACCAAATATTTACCTCTAATGCTTTATTGTAGAATATTTTTGCAACCCTGGAAAACTCAGAAGTCTCAAGGCTAACAGCCCCTCCAGGATAAAGAATCCTAAGAAAACAAAATTTCAACATTTTTTACAGCAATAAGTGCCAGGTTGACCACACATTCAAATGTCATACAGATAACCTGGAATGTAGTGGTGGCTGGATTCGCAATACAAGCTCAAAGGTGGGTGACATGTTTAAGTAATATATAATTTGGTGAACTGAATCATTCTTCTCCTACCAGACGGAAGACAGGTCCTACACAGGTGTTCTGCAACAAGACATGAACAAAAGTGGGAATCCACATGAGACACATTGTCAAGGTCCCCTAGATCCTGAAAGTGGGCTGTACACACTACTCATATTGGGAGAACCTGCCATATAACCAAGGTCCCCAATCATGACTCACGTTTGAAACATATCAAGCTGAGCATCCATTCAGCTCTCTGCAGTACACATGTGAAGGTCTACAATGCGGGCATCTTGTGTGCAGGGCTCCTGTGCATGATCACATCCTCTCCCTAGTTTAGGTCTATTGAAGTTGGAAGCAAACACCTACACAATGCTACAGCCATCATAGAATGTGAGGTGAGGGGATGATAGAAGAGATGGCATCAGAATCATAAGCCTCCCTTGTTTCCAATGAATTTGTTGTACCTTTTTTTTTCAAATGACAAAATACACTATGAATACAAAGAAAACAAGGAGGCGAAGGAGAACTATTAAGTCTCGTACAGTCAGAAAGATAACAAAAATATCATACACTGATATACAGTATCTGTGTAATCAGTCATCAGAAAGTACATATGGTCAGGAACAGCAACATGAAAGAAAAGCACTGTGGCACCTTTAAGATGTAACCATCTTATTTCACTGTGAAATTTAATGGCTTACCATCCACTGAAGAAATGGAGTGTAACCCACAAAAGGTTACAACGTAATAAATGTGTCAGCCTTTAAGGTGCCGGAGTACATTTGGTTTTGATGCTGTCAAAACAGACTAAAACAGGTTGTCTCTGTGACAATGCAATCTATGGTAAAAACAACGAGTGTTGGCTGCTTATTTCCCCTCTTGTGTCCTCTCTCCAATGGATAATATCCCTTTGGTAGGGAAAAAGCACGGTGAAGACATAATCAAAGAGGATGGAACACAGGTTTCTATAAACAAATCAGTCTCTTTGACCATTCTATTTAATTTACTTCAACACATTAAGAATTTCTTATTTTAATGCTGCACTGCACCTACAATTATCCACAACAGTGATGCTTTCTTTATATCAGAGTACTGCACAATTTAAGAAGTATGGACACATTTTCTTTGAGAGGATAAGTTTGACTCTTACTACTGCCTGGTGGTCTATTTCGAGTTTTACACAACAAAAATCACAGGGCTTAACTAGAAGATTTGTAGGTGCATGCCATCATTTGCCTCTTACATCATTATGTGACAATCACTGGATTAATGTGGTATCCACATTTTTCTTGAGTTGCTGAAGTCTTCCCAGTATCCATATGACATGGCTATGACATGTGGGTGGCACTATGAGAAGTAAATTAGCTGAAATAAATCTCTGTAGATTTACTGATATGCAAAAGGTAAAAATGCATCTTCTGAAGCTATCCTGGTTTATGAAGGTTTTCCAGAGCCATGCTATATTTATGTTGCTACAAAACACCACATACAATCCTTATATACACATCCCATACAAGTAAACTGCAGATATGCTTTAAACTTAAGCTCTCCCACAAAATGAGGACAATGATGATAATCACAAAGAAAAAGAAGAGTCTGAAAAATATGAATATCCTAAAAGCTGCATGCATTGTCAAGTTGAGAGTGTTTGACCACAAGTTATTTTCTGATTGGGGGAGGGGGGAATAGGAGAATAAATTATGACATACCTAAATTGACCTAATTTGTTTTAAGAATAACTTTTGAGGGGAAAAGGCTTAAATTACAGATGCAGATTGAAAATTGCCTAGAGGAGAAACAAGACTCTCCACCCCTCAATCACACACAACTTTACACCTTTTAAACATTTTAATTTTCACAAACAAAAATATAAGTGGAGTGTTTCCTGAGAGTAACAAGAAATACGAGGCAGATTATTGCCCAACACCACATATATTTATCTGGTGCAAAAAATTATTCTCACATGTGTTTTACAAAAGTAAAGACTTGCTAGGATCATTATGGAAGATTCATGGCTGAACTAAAAGTTGATCTCTTGTTGTCATCTCAGATAATTAACATTCCTTTTACGTCACTTATGTTACAGATTTCTAACAAATGTTCATGAGTACACTTACCCATTAATAGAATGGAAAATCTTTTCGTACTCTTCATCTGAGCGATTTAATCTGGCACCATGAAAATAAAATAAAAAGTTGTAGCATAAATACCTTCTCAAACTAGTACAGTTCTTACTATAGGAACTGAAAGGCTACATCAATTTTCAGTGGGACAAGGTAAATGGAGATCAAGTATTTTGACACTGTAGAGTGGGAATTATTTTTCTAGCAGAGGAAAGTATTTTTATTAAACACATTAATATCCCACCTCCTCTCCAAGTAATCTACATGTTTCTCTTCCATGTTCCCATTTTATCAGCAAATGCTGTCAGAAAGATCAAGATCATACAGTGAGCTTTATGGTCACTTGGAAACCAGGGCTCTCCAATTCTAGATTGACATAGCTTCTGCATCTGGTTTTATTATCAGATATTTAATAAGACCCTGTGACTCAAGAATTCTAGAAAGTGCTAGCCCATGCTTATGGCAAAGATTTCCATTCTATTGATTAAACTGCCTCCGCCATCAGAGCAAGTTCCTGTTTTGTGTCACATAGCATGTAAGGAAAAAGGTGAAAATCCAACTCCCCAGTCCTAACCAGAGTTAGACCCATTGAATCTACTACTAAATGGTAAATCAACACCTCTGAGCTTCCACAGCCAGGCAAAGACCTTTCTCTTCAGGCATTAGCCTCCTTAATGACTGGTGGTCTGAGAGGGGTTGATCTTATGTACCATTCTAATATCGTCGTCTAGTCGTGTCCGACTCTTCGTGACCCCATGGAGCAGAGCACGCCAGGCCCTCCTATCTTCCACTGCCTCCCGTAGTTGTGTCAAATTCATCTTGGTTGCTTCGATGACACTGTCCAACCATCTCATCCTCTGTCGTCCCCTTCTCCTCTTGCCTTCTCCTTGCTTAATTCTTTTTTAATATTTGTATACTTACTGTTTTAGTTTTTAACTACTGTTTTAGCCATCTTGGGTGCTTTTGGTGAGGAGGTATGGATGGATGGATGGATAGGGCTAGTAAATGGATTTAGGCCAAAAGCCTCACAGAACCTTAAAAACGAATGAATTTCTCACAGCTCAAACTCCATAAAGTTTCTGCGGACTGGAATATAATGGGAGCACTACAGCCGTAGAAGCTTACCTTATTGGCACTACTCGTGCTCCAGCAGATTCAAGAAACTTTACATATGAAGCAGCAATATAAGAACTTCCAAATCTTTTGAAGATTTTGGAGATAGATTCCTGGGCCACGATTCCTAAAACACACACACAAAATAAAGAACATGTATTACCCACTGAAATGATTTTGGCCATATGAAGCAGCAGGAAGTCCTAAAGCAATAATGATATTCATAAAATAGTTGGTAGATTTTATTCTTCCCTAAATATTTAAATCCAAGAAAAAAGAAATGAACATGGGGTTTGGCTAAACAGCACAATAACCATCCTTCAGCAATGTCGCCCATTCAAATGCATTTAAACACATAGGCCTAAATCCAACTGGTATGCATAACTAGACAAGATCCATTAACATAAACTACTGAGCGCACCCATGAGCACACCCTGCCCATCTGCGCATGTGCACGAGCATGCCCCGGCCATCCACGAGTAAAGCCTGCCCACCTGCAAGCGTGGGGGTGGTACACCCCCGTGGTTCAGAAAAGGTGGGGGACCACTGCTCTATGTGATCCAGAACTTGAAAAAAAGTAGTTCTGCACACATGAAGGGCTTACATGAAGAAACCTCTCCCTCTTTAGACTGCTGTTTACATATGATGAAAGTAATAACAGATAAGGTAGGGCTAGAATAGAGGACACACTCTTGAAGAATGACTAAACAGAGAAGTTCTGTGTTGTACATTGTCACACACCCCCAGTTCCCGTTTGGTCTTCCACACAACCCAGGTTCACTTTTGGGTATGACATTTATTTTTCAACACTTTCCTGCTGCCACCAGAGGATTTAGTCCTCACTCTATTACATATGACTCTTAAATCAGTGTTATTCAATAAAACAATGTTTATTTAAGTGTTTATAAGTAAATCATAGAAAGTAAATCATGGATGGTCTTATTTTATTCATTCAATAAACTGTGCTTTTATGATATTTATATTTGCTTATGTATAATCATGTTAATCAAGGTATTTATTCATTTCTTATCTTGTTCTCTACCTCTCTATTCTTCTCTAACACAAGACTGGTCCTATCTGCCTAAACTGCTTCTAATATCCTTAACTGAAGTCCCTAACTCTAACTCATATCCCTCCTAACTCTAACTCATATCCCTAACTGTCTTCCATTCTTCTTATATTTTCCTAGTTCTGCCTCTTCTCTTCTCCCATTAGTTGTTAAATCAGGGTTTCATTGTGATGGACAGTAGTGGTTACTGACCTGTCCATCACTATGCATAAGCATGTCTTTTATAGAGATTTGGAAGCTGCTCTCCAGTGGTCTTACTCAAGCTGCGTAACAGAAATATTCTTCTGTATTGGCCAGGAAAGTATACAAATGCCTAATGTGGCTTCTTGCATCATTAGGCTGGAAACATCTGAATATGCCATTTCGTCAGCCTAAGATAAGTGTTGTAATTTGGGTATTTCTTCCTGTCCTCCCTTCAATGTCAAAGTGAAAACTATGACGCAAGAGGACAAATATTAACCTTAAAAGCAGGAGCATCTAAAACATTATGCAAGCACACACACACACACAAACCTTACTGATGCTATATATGTATCTGATAACAGGTTGGAAAGTCCCCTCTATGCATTTTTCCACCAGCAGGCAATAACAAGCTCTTCGCTTCCAAGCTGAGCTGTTGTTCTGATCTACTGTTCTTTATATAGAGACTTATATTTGTTAAATTATATTTCTAATCTCTTTCTCTTTTAATTGTCACTGCTCTCGTGTTAATTTCGTTACCCTTGGCCACTCGAAGTGCCATTTTTTGCAGCAGAAAGGTGGGATGTAAAATAAACAAAAGCCACTTCACATAGGAAAAATGTGAATTTCTAGCACATGCATTTGGATTCCAATGTATTTACTGTATTTTCTTTTAAAAAATACCTTCATTGTGGTGAGAAGGCTAACATAATGCAACAGATTTCATGGGCACAGATGCACATATTGCATTCACACACCCTTGGGGTGGTCCTAAGTGGCAGAAGAAGAAGCACTCAATGTATCGGAGGTAATGGCTGGCATTATCAATGTGTGATGTGTGTGTTGTTTTTCCCACCAGGGAGCACATGGCAGCCAACCATTTATACAGGAGGAGAAAAATGTTATGTTCAAGAGCACTGCTGAGGTTGGAACTGAAACACCCCTGGGCCCCTTATGTTCCCAATATTTAGTGTGAGGATCAGATTCTGCTTCTTCACAACAGTATCCAAGAAGGCAGTCCTATCTATTTTGACTCACTGAACCTAAGGGAATCTATTACTCTGACATTCCTTTCCTACATCCCTCCATTCAATGTGTCTTTTTTTATGTGATGCTAAAGCATGATAGAATTCTTCAAAATTATGCACAGTATTTATGGACATCAGTTATGGTGGAGAGGCTGGATATAAGTCTAATAAGCCAACCTTTAATAATAACTGTGGGCCATCAAGTCAATTCCGACTTATGGCAAGGATTCCCAGACATAAAGTACTCAGAAATGGTTTACCATTCCTTTCTTCTGGAGGTGCCCTGGGACTGGGTGACTTGCCCAAGGCTATACAGTACAGGCTGACTGTTCTCTTGGAAGGCACACTGTGAAATCAAACTCTGCTAAGCTCACTTCAGAGGGTCAGGGCACCCCCCCAGAGGAGCTCCAAAGTACAGTATGCACTGCCAAAACTCACCTCCACCGTCATTGTGTTGGCAAAATGCTCCTCTCAGAGGAATCACCATTCCTAGATTCAACCTGGTGATCTCTACTGCCAATCCATAAACTGAGAGAACCAACAGGTTGCTCCAATCATGATGCCTGGTTCAAAACGTTTTGATGTACTATACTTTTCTTTCCACTTCAGCTAGAGCCAGTGAATAAAGCCAGCAAGTCTGTTCTGTGTTGTCTATCAACACACCTGCAGTATTAGTAGTCGTCTAGTCATTTAGTCGTGTCCGACTCTTTGTGACCCCATGGACCAAAGCACGCCAGGCCCTCATGTCTTCCACTGCCTCCCGTAGTTGTGTCAATTT